TCCTTGTAGTCAAAGGCACAGTAAATATCCTTGTGCTTGAATTGCATACTTAGAAATTTATTCCTGTTGAAAATATTCTGTGTGATGTGATTGTGAATGAGTGATTGAGTGAGATTTAGTTTTACACTGCTTTTAGCAATATTCCAGCAATATCATGGCAGGGGACACCAGAAATGGGCTTCACAAATTGTACCCATGTGGGGAATCGATCCCGCATCTTCAGTGCAACGAGCAAACTCTTCAACAACTAGGCTACCAGGGTACTGTACCCACTGTATTTTTTGGGAGTGGGTATTATGAATGTTGAGTGGGTATTTCATTTTCCGTTACCCACTGCTTTCAAATATGTGCATATTTCAGTCATTTTACACACCTAAGTATTGTGTCATTGAGCAAGTTTACTAAGCAGGTATGTTCTGCCTTATGTCATACAAAATCAAAACCAACTTAAATATAAGGGAAATGATTTCATAAAAAAATCAGTCATCCTATACTGACAGTACAACACTTGTCCTATACTAACAGTACAACTTGATAGCAATCGATGTCTTTTTCATTACGCAAGCGATTTTTATAAGTATATTCCGTACACATTTGTTTTAAACTCTTTGTGTATCTAACAGTTTAAATGCGTAATTGGTACGCAACAATTAATTTTCAATGCGTAATTGGAAATTTTCTATGCGTATTTTTCCCGGATACGCAGCTTATCTGGGCCTCTGAGGCTACCCCACCATCCCTGTGTGTGATGTAACTTGAATGTATATGTATATGTGAGTGCATGTGTTTGTGCATGAGTGAGTTCAGGAGAACTAAGCTGACTTGTATAACACTTGTATAATGCTAGCCTGCAGAGATAACATGCTAGACTTAAACACTTAGTCTCTGAACATGTATAATCTTGATAGTAACAAATAAACCCATTTAAATTGAAAAGGAACCCCAATGAAATGATAGATTCAGAATCCTGTGGAAATCTAGACATGCTTTATTAAAGGTGACATGCAACGTAAAACACAACTTTGCAGATTCTGATACCTTTCGGTATGGACTTACCGAAACAAATCATCAAAAATGCAAATACAAGTTATAAAGTTGAAAAATAACGCGATGAAAAAACCGCGCGAAATCGGAGTTCAAACGATTCACTAATTTCCCCCCGACTTTTCGGAGGAAAACTGGTTTCAACAGCTGGTCTGCGCTCATAGCACGTGCACAGTGAAATACGTTCGCGCAGCTTGGAAGCGGGCTGTCCGGTGAATACTCGGTGAAGGCTTTGGTGTGAGCTATTTTTCTAATGTTTTGTTGATATCTCACAGGCGCGAGTTATTCATATGTTATGACAGTAAATAAACTGTTTATATAATTTCATTTGTCTATTTCGCCACACGTTCTTCTTACCGAGTCACTTTCTCAGTTCGATACTTAAAAGCAATGTCATTATTTAGCGTTGACAGAATTTCTAACTGTGATATAGATATGTCGTTGTCACAGACAAAACTCAATGTCTTGTTTTATTGACACCTGTGTGTCTGCCTGCCTGTCTGCTAATGACAATATTCAATACACAACTGCGATCACTGACCACATGCAATTTGAACTTAACACCTATCAGGCTATACACCATAAACAAAACGCATTGATTTATGGCCCGAGTTCGGTCTCTGTCACATTATGTAATTACACAGACAGGCAGGTGTGATACTTGAACACATGACATGTTATGATGTCTGTTGATTGCAAAATGTTATACACAAAAAATGAGCATGTATTTACAAAACCCAACATCTCTATATATACACACACAATGAGCCGTGAGGGCATCTGCAAATGAACCAGCCGTTACACTTGAGTGCACACCCACCGGCTCTGACTGGGTTCAGTATCCCGGCTGCTTCGTTTCTTGGGAGGTAAACCCAAGTACACAATATTGCACTTTTGATTTGCGATTGTACGCTTATAATTTTGTTTATATGTTTTTTCATAACCAGCAATGTATATTATATGTCATGAATAAGTGATAATTGTGTTTTAATTATGTTTGATTTTTTGGTTGCATGTGACCTTTAAGGACTTTAGCATTGCAGGCAGGGCTAGGAGTTACCGAAATAAGTTGGGAAAATAATGTGGTTCAGGGACTGTGAGACAGGCTTATAACATGCCTACAGTTCAACATGGACATCCCAGTCAGAAACAGTATACTGACACCAAACCCACAAATTCCTTCTGGATAACTACAAGCACCATCTTTCAACATATCTCTTTTTGACACAGACAAGGGATTGAACAACTGAAACCTCTATCCACTAGACACAGAAACTATGTTCAAAGAAGAAGGCAAACTTTCAACTAAAAAGCTGCAAATTATCTATCTCACAGAGAAATAGTAACTGTCAATCAACAATATTCAATCAATCACAGCATGTTTTTTAACCGATGAAAGATTTACGAGAAGTTCATTGACCATAATAATGTTTGTGCACAGATGGTCATTTAAGTAGAGTTTTGTAAGACAGTCATCATGATCAGACAAGTGTCACTGTGGTCAATCTGTCCCATGTGATTTCTCTGAGCATGCTTAGTGAATTACAGGAGCTTAATGTTCCACTAACTTCCAGTTGTTATTACAATGTGTATTGGCATGAATCACATGCCAATACACCACTGACTGAGGTTGAGTATTGATCCTGTGCTTATGGCAACAGACACTGATTGTGAGGTGTGTTAATCTGAAGACAACAGATGTACCAAACAGGCTGTAGGGACAACACACTGTTACATACAACCAAGCTAACATCTGACCTTGGCAAGCTCCTTAACCATGTTGACACTTTTCTCATGAAAGTAAATCAGGGCTCCAGATAATTTTTCATGATCAGGAGTACGTACTCCTTATTTTTTCAATATAGGAGTACTGGAAAACAATAAGAGTACATTTAGAGTACTGAATGGAATTTAATGGCGTATCAGTAATCTTGTGTTTCGTTTCATATATGCACCACAACATTGCTACTCTTGTGTAAACAGGTCAATAAACAATAAAACAATACTTTTTCAGATAAATACATCTGTAAATGATTCTGAAACCGTACACCATTGCTGTGGTCTGTATCTGCTACGTTTTTAAAATTGTTTCCTACCGTATCGTGCTTATTTTATATCCGTACATACACCGATACGGCCCTTATCTGGAGCCCTGTAAATATTTGTTTTCTAAGGTGTCACTGTTGTAAAAGATGTAAAATTACTTTCCATAATTTGTTTAAGAGAATTTAGTTAACTGCATGAATGTGATGTTGTAAGTGCTTAAATACCTGGTAGCAACAGTTACATGGTGTTACTATACAAGAGTTGTTGTCATGGTTATAACTTAATATGTGACACTAATATATGGAAAATAGACTGGCTGAACTTATTTCAGTCAAGACTGTCTCACAGTCCCTGAAGTAAATTTTTTCCCTACTGCCCAACCCTGATTGCAATGCTAAAACCCTAAACAAAGCAAGTCTACATTTCCTCAGGTACTGAATCTCCCATCCACTATTGTTCCTTTTCAGTTTTAAAGGAATGATTTATTTCTATCAAAATTAGATATATTCAGAGATTAATATGTTTTCAGAGACTAAGTGTTAGCCTAGTCTCTGTCCTGCTAGAAACAAAAAGACATGATCTATCGAGAATGTCATCAATATCTAGCCTTGGCAGGCATCACTGGTTGTTATCAGAGACCAAATAATATCTATTATATTGTCTCTGTTGTTATCGATTAGCAGCATGAAGAGGTTGAAACATGCATGGACCTGGCAGAATGTATCAGCTTCACTGGCTTCAGGCACACTGGGGATGACATGAGGTCAATGACAACAAATCATAACTAGGGAAATATCTTCATTTTCCACTATGTGGAGAAAAGTTATAGAATGGCAACTGTTCCATGTCTATATCAGTACATGACCATGTGATATTCTGATGTGTAACATTGATGAACACACCGAGTACACTGGTTGTCATGGTTATTTACCATTAACAACACTGCAGCTTCCTATTTCTTATTCCAGAGGGCAAACAATTATATATATTTACAGCTTATATTAAAGTACATATGAAAATTATTGATGATTATATCAACAATGATCAAGTTGAAAGCACTTAAAGCATAATCATGATAATCATAATTACTAGAGGCAAGAATTTGAATTCACCTGATGAAGGAGTAAGAATATACTTCGAAACGTCATGACCCTTCACAATAAAGAAGCTGACATCCATAAAAGTCTTGCCTTTATGTGTATCACTTCTAAATGCCCTTCAAAGACTCCATAATTACTAGCATGACTATTTTCTTAGAAGACAAGTAGATTGATGGTACTGTTTTTATAAGGTAACATTTTTTCAAGCCTTCTTTAAGTAAATTAAACATTATGAAACATTCTAAACATAATCAGGAGTTGTTGGTAATCATCAACATCATCAAAATCCCTATTTTTCACATGTAACTAGCCAAATAATCATGTTACCTAAATCTATCATAAATCTATCAGCCTCTGGCACATTTCCAAATTTTACCTCTAAGCGCAAACTATAGTTTCACTCGCAACTCTCATGTATGTGATATTTGCCTACAAGCCTTATGGATACCTGTTAGTGTACCAATACAACTGATAACATTATATGACATCAGGAGCAGTATTGTAAATCTTTGCTTGTTTACAAACCTAGATTCACAGTTTGCAAAATGTATCTGTTTAACACAACTGAAAACGACTCTCCCTCATTAATCCTTAATTAACAGACAATTACAAAACAGTTCAGATTTGATAGCATTGCTCATAGTTGATCACTGTTTATCATGTAACGACAGATGCATAATATTCTCAGACTTCCAATAGGATCACAAGGCTAGCTGACACATAACTTTCAGGTGATTTTTTAAAGAAAACATTATCAAAGAACTTGTGTAATTCCTTATGACAAGACAATCAACTGCAAAATAAACTCACTCATGAGGCCTCTTTTCCAACTTTTCTTTCATGAAATACTCTGGTTCAAAGCACCAACCAGGGAGGTTTCTTCCCCAGAAACCTTGTGGCATGTGTGTTCCATGCTTTGGACAGTTATTTGCAGAATTTGTTGATTTGCCAGAAACATCTCCATCTAAAAGGTTTGAATCTTGGTTTTTCTTTGCTTGCTTAGACTTTCTCTTCCTTGTCCTGTTATTGTCACTTGCAACTGTGTTGCTCTTCAGTGGATCCTCAAAACCACTGGTATTACACAAACATTTGCTGCTTTCATCAGTAGATTCATTGTGTAAATTATATGTGTCTGCCTCTTGGCAGTTTGCACTTCTACCATTGGAAATGCTATTGGTATTGACGCAATACCCATTCGTTGCAGCCATTATGAGCACTTGGGCTAAATACGGTGTTGTGTCAAAATGATGAAATAAGTCAAGATCTACACAACATTGTCAGCTGTTGTAAAACAGACGTATCAATGGCGATGATCACTGCTGTCACGTTAAGCCAGAGGTGATAGATGAAAACCCAAGTGAACGCGGCTCAACTGGAAACAAAATTAATCGCCATGCCCAGCTTAGAACCGTACCAATCACCAACGCATGTCATTCAGTCGAGGGTCTACTCCCATTGGAACACAATTCCAAGTGGTTGTGGCGCTCAGTTCGTTGGTCTTACATGTGACCGGAGACATGCATGCAGCACCTGTGCTGTTTATATTAGCCGCTGGTGGGGATGTTATTTTTAACTCCAGCTACACGTGGGTCAGGCATGACTGCTTCAGGTTGACGGACTGATAAGAACGTGACGCTCACCTTGTGACCCGGAAGTAAACAAAGTGAACTCAAGCGCATAAGAGTTTGAGCTTTGACACCAAAAGTGTAAAAAAATACTTACGGCTTTTCTAGACGCGTATATCGAGTTTTTCTTTCAATTTCTGATGATTCTGGAACTTTATTTACACTTGTCGATCGCCGTAGTCTTGCTTTGGTTGCCATCTCTTCAGTTGTTAACCAGAGTAACGCGGAAGACGGTCTTCTCGGAAATGACGTCAAATTAACATCGCTTACAACAAACACCATTAGATATACATATTAAATATCTCTCATGACTTAAGATTTATTGACCAAATGATATTTTAGCTAGACACAAACACGTATTGTGAGTACATTGGTCATATTGATGTTGTTTTTATCTTAATGGAAAGAAACTTTATTTTGAGTGATGTACGGGATTGCAGGTGCGTTGTCTGCTTCACGATATTCCGTATGTTGTATATTCGTGTTCCTCCGTGTTTAGAAATAAGCGTTCTCTGTAAGCTTTATATTTAGTGACGAAATTCGATCAAATTCAGTTTTGATGAGTGACTCGGAGTCTGCCTCTAAATCAGACGATTGTCAGAGCAAGGGAGAAGATAGTCAACATGTAACCAAAAACGGCAAGCCGAAGACGAAGTCAAAAGCTAAGGGTTTGTAAACAAACATGCAGTCACAGGCAGTTAAAATGTATTTAGAACATGTTAGATGTAATCCCCCTTAAAAACATGAAGGTGTCGCTATAGAATATGTTTGTCATTATTATTATATTTTCAAGGGTACAAGGGTTAAGAAATGGGTTTTGGGTAGTCTACCCCAACACACCTTTTTAAAAACAATTTTTATGACAACTGTGGGCTGCGGTCACATTCTATACTCGCAAGCAAACATCTAAAAAGGTTTCAAGAACAGTTGCAGTGATTTATGGGATTAGCAGTTGATTGTTTTGTTTGTGCTGTTTGATCTCATATCTTTATATCATCAATGCAACTAATTAAGACCAATTAAGCTTCCAGTTCCGGCTCTGATTCATTATGTCACATGGTGATGCATCCATGTACATCAGTAAAGTCTGGTCATCAGGTGGTCATACATTTACATATATATTTAGTCTTCAGTAAACCATGCTTGTTGTAAGAGGCGAGTAATGTGATCGGATGGTTAGATCCGCTGACTTGGTTAACACATGTCATTGTATCCCATTTGTGTAGATTGATGCTCATGCTGTTGATCACTGGATTGTCTGCTCCAGATTTGATTATTTACAGACTGCCGCCATATAGCTGGAATATTCCTGAGTGCGGCGTTAAACAACACACCAACACCACCATATATGCTTGACTCCCCAATAAGTTAAGGACCATCTCAATATTCATTATTAAGTATTATATGGATGATAATATGAACTATTAGATACTAAAATATTGTTTATTGGAGTTGTCCTTGACTTTTTGTTGAGTATATTTAGTCTGTTATGTCACATACTGAAATATACTTTACTACATGTATGGACACTAATAAATGAGTCAAGAAACAAATTCAATATGTTGAAATCTGTTCATACAAACATGGCATTTATTGAGTTTAACATACTATTTAAGTCTTTATCTAGGGTGCATAATGTATATGTTCATTATTACATCACATTCATTACATTCATCAATTCATTGTCAGACATTTATTCTTTATATCTTTCCGGTTTTGTTTCAGACTTAAGAGGCAAAGATATATTTTGTTGGATTGTGATTTGTTGTATTTATAAAATAATATGTGAAATTTTCAGTGTTCAGCAAGCGTAATAAAACTAGTGAGATCCAGAAGGCTCTTTTCAAAGACCCTGCAGATGTAGCACGTCTCAGACAGCTGTCCATCAGCAGGGGTGGGCTCATCAGTGATGAACTTCGGAAGAAGGCATGGCCCAAACTCCTGGGAGTTAATGTTCAGGACATTGACGCTAAGCCATGTAAGAATTGCAAGTTTAAATCATAATGCCACTGTGTAATTCAACAATATGGGTGTATTTTTTGCATCCTAAAGCCCAATTATATAATAATAGTAACCATGGATATGTGACAAAATATTGACACTATTTTTATCATTTCTATCATGACATTGAAGAATGCTTGAATGTTATTTGGTTAAAAAGAGGTTTCCCTTTTCCTACAGATTATGAAATATATCTTTCAAAACAATATTTTCATCGATTTATCAACAGCCTATGTTTTGATGCAATTATGTGGGGTAGCCGAGTGGTCAAAGCCGCTCGTCATGCTGAAGACCCGGGTTCCATTCACCACATGGGTAAAATGTGTGAAGTCCATTTCTGGTGTCCCCTGCCAAGATATTACTTGGAATATTGCTAAAAGCGGCGTAAAACTAAACTCACTCACTCTGCCTGTACAACTTTGTGTTATGTTGCAGCCCAGGAGGTTTTGACGGCTCATCGGGACTATGATCAGGTGGTGCTGGATGTCAACAGATCACTAAAACGCTTTCCTCCAGGTTAGCTATGTTTGGTTGTTGTTTAACTCCTAAGCCTACAGTAGTCCAGCTGATGGAGACTGGTCAGGACAGTCCAGTGGTTGCCATAATAAGAAGCAATCCACTTTGTTTGGATTCAGAGACATTCAACCAACCAAGTATTGTTTTAGCACATTTCTTGAGGGTTTCATAAGTGTACCTGATTTAAACTTTGCCTTCAGAGTTTACAGAAATTTAACTGTTCTAAATTCTAGGAAGTCTTAAAATATTTGTGTAATAATACACAAGTTGATTGATAAATTCTATGTCTCAAATAGAAAGAATTATGAAATAGTGAAATCATTTGCACAAAGTTGGACACTATTTAATGTCATAAAGTTATATCCCAAAAATATGTTTCACTAATACAAGTCGGTAAAATAAGTGCATACAGTGTTGTCAAATCAGTTTATTCATATGATGAATAGTTTTGTAAATTATCATCAAGATGTGGCTGAAATACTAACGATGTGACACTCGCTCCATGAGAGGCAGAACAGAAGCTTTAAAGTCCACCATGAGTTGAACTAACCAGTCACCCATCCTCCTATTCTCTACATATTTATTTCACCTTGTTTGCTCCCCTAAGACGTGTGGTTATGAATGAGTTTAGTTTCACGCCACACTCAGCAATATTCCAGCTATATGGCGGCGGTCTGTAAATAATTGAGTCTAAACCAGACAATCCAGTGATCAACAGCATGAGTATCGATCTGCGCAATTGGGAACCGATGGCATATGTCAACCAAGTCAGTGAGCCTGACCACCCGATCCCGTTAGTCGCTTCTTACGACTAGCATGGGTTACTAAAGATCAAATATTCTTACCCGGATCTTCACGGGTCACTTATGGTTATGTGAAGGCCTAGTGGACAATGGCCTGTCTGCCAGACCAACTTACGTGTAGCAAGATAGTCTAGATTGCCTGAACTCTGAAATTTTTAATTGTTCTTAGCTCATTTGGGATTTAGCTATTTTTAAAATTATTTTTGGTAGATCTAGGTTTCTAAATAAGATAACTATTTCTGGATTTCAATGTCAGTCTTGGCTGACAACCAAGCCTAATTTACACCTAGATTGTAAACTTGTTTTGTGCAGGTATGGAGGAGTCTCATCGTATGGCCATGCAGGACCAGCTGGTGGACTGCATCATGAGGGTTCTCGTCAAGCATGAAGAACTTCATTACTACCAGGTAACTAATGGGTTGCTCATCACCATGGTAAATGACCTGTTGCAGTGTGTCTATATCATCAACAGTTTGGGGCAGTAGGGTAACTTGGTGGTTAAAGAGTTTGCTTGTCGCACTGAAGACCTGGGTTTGATTCCCCACATGGGTACAATGTGTGGAGCCCATTTCTGGTGTCCCCAGCCGTGATATTGCTGGAATATTGCTAAAAGTGGTGTAAAACTAAACTCACTGACTCGTCAACAGTTGTCGTGATATGATATACTGGGACACTTGTGCATCATGGTTTTTCATGCAATGACATGATGCCTGATACATCTCTTTCTGTATCAATACAGAATTATACCAGTGTCTGAAATAGCCACTGGCCCACTAGCCCGTGGCTAGTAAAAATCCAGTCGGGCCAGTAAATTTCCACAGTCACTGGCCCGAGTGAACAGGGAATTTTTATGGGGTCATTTTGTAAATATACTCATAGAAACAAATAAGGGAACCCATAAAAGTACAAGTGTTTCTTTATTTATTTCCAGAATTTCACTAACAGTGCATTATACCTTCTGAAAAAACCCTGGAAAAGAATACAGGAATACTTGTACTTTCATGTCGTCCCTTATTCGTTTCCATGAATATATATCCCTCTCTCTGACTTGTTAAGTTATAACACACTTTTAAATCAAGCAAGATTGTGGCCAGATAAAATTGTTCATCATATTATCAGCTTAATGATGAAACGTCTGTCTATTCCAATTTCGGACTAGTGAATTATTTTGTGGGCTTGTAACTTCAGGCATAGCTAGCCCAACTGGCTAGCAAAATTTGAAAACTATTTCGCTCACTGAATTATACACTTGCCAAAATACTTACTACTCATTAAATGACACTCCACATCCCTCATTTTGTCAGTCAGATGTCACAGAATGTTTCCTAAGCACAGTGTCTTTCAATTTTATCGCTAAAATATCTGCAAGAAACATAAGTCTACAGCTCAATGTTCCTTTGGAATCTGCTCTGAAATATTTATTGGCAAGAAGTCTTCACGTGATATGAGTATTGTGATACATATAATATGATGACTTAAGTGTCATGATACATATTGTATTGTGGCCTTGCTGTATCTTTTTATCCCTAATCAGAACTTAGTGTCTAACTAAGCTATATGGGCAGTGGCTGGTATCATTCTGAAAAAAAGATTATTCCAGAAAATACTGTAATGATAATTGGTTTGCTGGACATGCTTGATGTCAGGGGGGTGGTAGGGTAGCCTAGTGGTAAAGCGTTCACTTGTCACGCCGAAGACCCAGGTTCTATTCCCCACATGGGTTCCAAATGTTGTGAAGCTCATTTCTGGTGTCCCCCGCTGTGATATTGCTGGACAATTGCTAAAAGCGGCTAAACCAAACTCACTCACTCACTCACTCACTTGATGTCAGGGAAAATGTCTTCAGATGAAATTGCTGACTTCACATTTTACTCTAAAATTGAATTTCTTGAAGCCATGACTGAAACATACTATCTCTCTGTGACCAAACTGCCAGGCCTGTCCTACCCTGCAATAATAAGTAGTATGTCTTGTAAGTGGACATGTGGCTAATATCAGTGTTGGATGTGGCAGTTTCTTCAAAATGATGTCACAAGGGAGTACAAAATCTAATCCCCATGGATATGACATAAGTGGTTACTATATGGCGTTTTTCATATCCTACCCCGTATCAACCTTTGACCCCCATATCAGCATGGGCGCTGAAGTCATGGTTGAGAACTGATATGGGTGATGATATGGAAACTGCCATATGATAACCTTTTTATCATATACCACATTAAAATGTTATGTACCTGCATGTATTTGCAAGTTAGTTCAATGCATTTTCACCTTATGTGGACAATATTGTCACAGAAAATCTATTGAAGTTGACAAGCTGATGATGCACTAAGGGACATAACTCCAATTCCTTTCCACCTGGCTGATATTGATGCCCATTCAAAATACATTGACAAGCCACATGAACCTGTCAGTTATTTGCACCTGCGATGTGTATTGGCTCTATCTAACATGCGGAATGCAGATGTAACTAAAACAATTCAGTACTATTTGGAGTTCATCTTTGTGAATGGGACCCTTTATTTAGCTTTTGGTGTAATTTTGAGTGCACTGACAGTATATAGTACACATAGTTCTCTTGTTTCAAATAGCATCTTATCTTTCATACCTATATTAGGTCAGGTTTTTGTACTAAAATTTGTTTCCCATTTTGAGCTACATTATTCAAATAGTGACCTGAAGCAAATATTCATATGTAAATAGTGACCTAAAACAAATATTTATTTGCATACAGTGACCTAAAGCTACTATTCATATGCAAATAGTCACTTCAAGCTGTAACACTTGACAGTTAATATGTTCTGTTGACCTTTATTTTAGTTGATATGTTTTTTAACTTAATGGCTGCTAATATTTTGTGAGATGAAGTAAAAATGTGAAAACCGGAGGGTTAAATTACAGCTATTTATTATGTTGAAAAAAATTGCTCAATTTATCAGGTAGTTTCTTATGTGATGTGTGCATTGTTTGAGCTTGGATACGCTGTGTGAAAATATTCTGTAATCGTTTCAGGGTTACCATGACATCTGTGTGACATTCCTTCTGGTTGTGGGAGAAGATATTGCCTTTGCCTTAGTGGAAAACCTCTCCCTAAATCATCTACGGTAAGACCAAGAGCATTTCGGGATTGTGCTTGCCCCTGTAAAATCTCTGCACATTTTCGCCCAGGGTTTATGAAATTAAACTTTCATCTTTTTCAAGTCAACACAACGGAAATAATAACTTTGACTCAACTGTGTATAATAATTGTGTATTTTGTTCCAACTTTCATTCAGCTTTGTTTGATTGTAGAGACTTCATGGATGCCAACATGGATCGGACCAAACACATGTTGAACTACTTGTATCCCATCATTCACAAAGCCAATCCTGAACTCTACGCATATCTAGAAAGGTAAACAGGTTATACCAGTTAAAAACCATTTATCTAATATATTTAGTTGTAAAAACTACATTTACAAACTTATGACTATAGTTTTAGGTGTAAAATACCTGTTAATTTTATGTTTGTTCATACATTGTTTATTTCTGTCCAACAAGCCAGTGGAGAAACAGATCCAGGATTTGGAAAGGGAGTTGTTCGGTGGGGTAGCCTGGTGGTTAAAGCATACACTCGTGCCGCCGAAGGCCCAGGTTCAATTCCCTACATGGTTACAATGTGTGAAGTCCATTTCTTGTGTCCCCTGCTGTGATATTGCTGGAATATTGCTAAAAGCGGCGAAAACGTACTCATTCACTCACTGGAAAGGGATTGATAAAGTGAACCAAAGTATGTGATTGGATGACACGATTGGTGCTGTTATCCAGATATTTATGCTAGTACTATACTCTCATGTGTATATGGGGAATGAGTGTGTTAATGATGATGTGTCTATTACAGGGCTGAGCTGGGAACCATCTTCAGTTTGAGTTGGCTCATCACATGGTTTGGTCACACAGTGAATGATATCAAACACATTGTCCGCTTGTACGACTTCTTCATCGCCTGTCACCCCCTCATGCCTATCTACCTGGCTGCCGCAGTGAGTACACCCTCCAACCTTTGTGTCAGGGCAGAATACGTCCTTGTTCTGTTGTTGGTCATAAATGTGGATTGGATGGAAACACCCTCCAACCTTTGTGTCAGGGAAAAATACATCCTTGTTCTGTTGTTGGTCATAATTGTGGATTCGGTGGAAACACCCTCCAACCTTTGTCACAGGACTGAATACGTCCTTGTTCTGTTGTTGGTCATAAATGTGGATTGGATGGAAACAACCTCCAACCTTTGTGTCAGAGCAGAATACGTCCTTGTTCTGTTATTGGTCATAATTGTGGATTCGGTGGAAACACCCTCCAACCTTTGTCACAGGACAGAATACGTCCTTGTTCTGTTGTTGGTCCTAAATGTGGATTGGATGGAATCAACCTCCAACCTTTGTGTCAGAGCAGAATACGTCCTTGTTCTTGTTCTGTTGTTGGTCATAAATACGTGGATTGGATTGGAAACAACCTCCAACCTTTGTGTCAGGAGCAGAATTTGTCACAGGACAGAATACGTCCTTGTTCTGTTGTTGGTCATAAATGTGGATTGGATGGAAACAACCTCCAACCTTTGTGTCAGAGCAGAATACGTCCTTGTTCTGTTGTTGGTCATAAATGTGGATTGGATGGAAACAACCTCCAACCTTTGTGTCAGAGCAGAATACGTCCTTGTTCTGTTGTTGGTCATAAATGTGGATTGGATGGAAACAACCTCCAACCTTTGTGTCAGAGCAGAATACGTCCTTGTTCTGTTGTTGGTCATAATTGTGGATTGGATGGAAACAACCTCCAACCTTTGTCACAGGACAGAATACGTCCTTGTTCTGTTGTTGGTCATAAATGTGGATTGGATGGAAACAACCTCCAACCTTTGTGTCAGAGCAGAATACGTCCTTGTTCTGTTGTTGGTCATAAATGTGGATTGGATGGAAACAACCTCCAACCTTTGTGTCAGGGAAAAATACATCCTTGTTCTGTTGTTGGTCATACATGTGGATTGGATGGAAACAACCTCCAACCTTTGTGTCAGAGCAGAATACGTCCTTGTTCTGTTGTTGGTCATAAATGTGGATTCGATGGAAACAACCTCCGACCTTTGTTACAGGACAGAATACATCCTTGTTCCCTTGTTGGTCATAAATGTGGATTGGATGGAAACAACCTCCAACCTTTGTCACAGGACAGAATACGTCCTTGTTCTGTTGTTGGTCATAAATGTGGATTGGATGGAAACAACCTCCAACCTTTGTGTCAGAGCAGAATACGTCCTTGTTCTGTTGTTGGTCATAAATGTGGATTGGATGGAAACAACCTCCAACCTTTGTCACAGAGCAGAATACGTCCTTGTTCCCTTGTTGGTCATAAATGTGGATTGGATGGAAACAACCTCCAACCTTTGTCACAGGACAGAATACGTCCTTGTTCTGTTGTTGGTCATAAATGTGGATTGGATGGAAACAACCTCCAACCTTTGTGTCAGAGCAGAATATGTCCTTGTTCTGTTGTTGGTCATGAATGTGGATTGGATGGAAACAACCTCCAATCTTTATGTCAGAGCAGAATAAATCCTTGTTCTGTTGTTGGTCATAAATGTGGATTGGATGGAAACAACCTCCAACCTTTGTCACAGGACAGAATACATCCTTGTTCTGTTGTTGGTCATAAATGTGGATTGGATGGAAACAACCTCCAACCTTTGTGTCAGAGCAGAATATGTCCTTGTTCTGTTGTTGGTCATGAATGTGGATTGGATGGAAACAACCTCCAATCTTTATGTCAGAGCAGAATAAATCCTTGATCTGTTGTTGGTCATAAATGTGGATTGGATGGAAACAACCTCCAACCTTTGTGTCAGGGAAAAATACATCCTTGTTCAATTGGTAGTCATAATTGAAGAATTGGTGGAGACAGTGTTGCTATCAATTGCTAGTACTCCCACCTTGGAAGACCCACTATTTCCTGTAAGGCTGCAACGGATGCAGATTCCCTACCCAGATACCTGCCCCTTAGTACTCTTCCCAGACTGTGTACCTGTCATTTAGAGTTTTTCCACTTACGTCTCTACTCAGGTCATCAACAACAGTTAGGAATATATACAAGACCTAAAAGTGGGAGTTAGAGAGTGAAACATTCACAGCCTAGTAATGTTCTTTTGATAATTAGTATTTTCATAGATGAGTGGAAATATCACAAATGAATTGCAAACCTTGTCACGATTTGGCAGAAAATATATATGGAGATAACGTTATTGTTCCGGGTTAGAATTGGTCTTCAGCAACCCATGCTTTTCATAAAAGGGACTAACGGGATCGGGTGGTCAGACTTGCTGACTTGGTTGACACATGTCATCATATCCCAATTGAGTAGATTGATGCTAATGATGTTGATCACTGAATTGTCTGGTCCCGACTCGATTATATACAGAGTACCACCATACAGCTGGAATATGGGCAAGGACTGGTCGGCTCGGAGTCAGTACAATGTGTCTGAGTGTGGTATCCATGCTTAACTGCGGAATAATATCTCAGTGAGCTAGCACTATAAACTCAGCTTAAGTCAGGGCTAGTATAAGCAGCCAAACATGCACACGCATGCACATCGTCATATGAGAGAAATATTCTTAAGTGCGACATTCAACCCCATTTCACCTCTCTCAGTCTCACCTATCAGTGTGTGATTTTGTTCCAAAGAGTTGCATCCCTTAGCCTTGACAGGATCCACATTTTGTATGTTTGACTTCAGATTTGTGGTGTTTATGAACGTTGGTCTCAGCTATATTCCAGCTATATGACAGCGATCTCTAAATAATCGAGTCTGGACCAGACAATCTCCAGTGATCAACAGCATGAGTATCGATCTACGCAATAGGGATACAATGACATGTGTCAACCAAGTCAACGAGCCTGACCAGAGCATCTGTTGTACTGGCACATCATGATGCTACAAGCAGTGTTTAAGCAAATGTATCACTCATAGAACGGAGGCCACATTGTTGTATCATGTAGCTTAGAAAATCCTGAGTGCAGCTTGAAAAACAAAAATAAAACTGACTGCCTACACTGTGCCTTCTCTCCGCCTACAGATAGTTCTACATAGGGAGAAGGAGCTGCTGGCCTGTGAATGTGAGATGTGCTACCTGCACAGCCTGCTGTCCAAGATACCAGATGACCTACCTTTTGAACTGTTGATAGCCAAGGCAGGGGACCTCTACCTCCAGTACCCTCCCACCCAACTAGCTAATGAGGCAGTCATCAAGTACAGGGAAAGGTAGTCACACCAATCTCTTCCTTGTTTCGTTTATTTTCAGAAATGTTCAGTTGAAAATTTTGATTATTTCTAGTGAGTGAGTGATTGAGTGAGTTGGGTTTTATGCCACTTTTAACAATATTCAAGCATTATCATGGCAGGGTGACACCAGAAAAAGGCTTAACACATTGGAACCATTTGAGGAAGCAAACCTGGGCTGTTGGCATGATCAGAGAATGCATTAACCACTAGGCTATCCCACCACTCCTTGACTTGTTTTAAAATATGATGTTTGGAATTCTTGTTTTATCCTTGGAAGTAGGTATTGTTTCCAAACCTACGTTCTAATTTTTTTTTTCACTTTTCCTTTGTAACTGCAAATCAAACCTTGGAGCTTTAAAAAATAAGAATTCTTTCCTCCATCTTAAAGATGAAGAGAAAAATTATGGTTGACACATGTCATCATATCCCAATTGTCATGCTCATGCTGTTGATCACTGGATTGTCTGGTCCAGACTTGATTATTTACAGACCTCCGCCATATAGCTGGAATATTGCTGAGTGCGACATTAAACAACAAACAACAAATCTGAAATACCTCATTCCTTCTTCAGCACCTCGTTAGCCAAGAAGTTACAACATGCAGCAAGAAATCAAAAGCCTGACGGTCTTCTGAAGAGGCTGCGCAAACAAGGGGTACGGGCGCTGGTTGTCCAAGATGGCAGGAATGTGGTAGTGAAAGTAACTGTGTGGACACTCAGTGCCGTGCTTAGTGCCGCAGTCTTTGCTGTTCTCAACGCCGCCACAGACTGGGATTGGATGGACTGGGACCATTGGTCTAGTTGGTTCTGATAGGTTGTTGGCAGGTCATGTGATAGATAAATTATTTTAATTGTTTGACAGTGTTCAGGAATATTTTATTTTGGTTTTACTGTGTCAGAGATGTTTATTTTCATGTGAATGGAAAATATGTTTATGTGGGTTAAGATGAGTTGTGATGACTGTATTTTTGAAAGCATTATTTGTAGTTAATGTGACACTTATGATTAAGAAGATATATGTGAGGGTTTTATTCTTTTTTGAAAGAGAGCCAGGTATTTGAAATACCAGGATCATAGAATTGTGATTGTAATCCTAAAAATGTGCCAACAAAGTTTTGTACTTGCTCCGGTGAAGCACACTTGTCATCATAATTTTCTTGTTACGTCTTCAGATGTCTTTTCAGTGCTGTCAAATATGTTTCAAATATAATTATCATTATCATTAAGGATGTACATCACCTGGATTTTGATACTTGGTAGTCAGCAGAACACCAGCTTGCCACCCTAAGGGTCTATGTATGTGCTGTGCATCACTCACAACAAGACCCATGAAGATCCGGATTAAAATTGATCTTTAATTACCCATGCTTGTCGTAAGAGGCGTTTAACAGGATCAGGTGGTCAGGCTCACTGACTTGGTTGACACATGTCATCCTGTCCCAACTGAGTAGATCGATGCTCATGCTGTTGATCACTGGATTGTCTGGTCCAGACTCGATTATTATTGCTCGACTCACTGCCTTATAGCTGGAATATTGCTGAGTGCGGCGTTAAACACCAACCAACCAACCAACCAACCCATATCATTGGCTGCTTCTTACAACATGCATAGACTCACTTACTTACAACTCGTTCATTACTCATTCACGAAACCGTCTCGCTTTTAACTGACATTGAGACAGTACTGTCAGTGAGGTGTCATTGATGATCATGAACTAACATAGCTTTTAATTTTATATAGCGTTAATTTAGTAAACCTTATTCTATTTGTTTGATGAAAAAAATCTGGAAAAGTAAAATTTTGTGAAATATTTGATCAATAATTCCTATTATTGTGTTTATCTAAAAGTCAGTTCTGTCAATAATGTGTCATAAGAAACAAAAGGAATATGTAAAGTTACGGACAACGAACATAATGGGTTCTTTTGTCAAAGAAGGTTTATTCCATAACACCCTTTTGGAGGTTACATTCTTTGTTTCTTTTTAAATCAACATTCTCAAATATACCAATTGTTTTATTTCTGCATAGGATGTGTTCTTCACCCTGTGCCTTCGAGTGATGATTTGATCATGACCCTCTGCTTACAGGTACAAGGAAGGGTTTGGGGGGCTGGGTTCGGTATTGCCCAGGGTGACCTATGTCGGTTCATAAAAATGACTGAATCGGATGGTCTGACTCGCAGACTTGTTAATGTGTTTTCAGGATGATACTTTCTTAGTTTGAAGATATGTTAGTTAGAATATGTTGATCAATGGCATGTACACCTCAATCACTAGATTGTCTGGTCTAGACATGATCATGTACAGATTATTTCTTTATATGAGTTCCCAGTCACAACCAGTTTTCTATCGTTTTTGGCTCATGATCTTTAATATTGGACAGCCCTGTTGGTGATGATGGTTTTTGTTGCCGTTGTTTAAGATAGACAGTAGAGGGTATTCACTGTGTGTAAGACTAGTCACTGTATATGAGGAAAGACTGGCATTTGTTGAGCTGATGTTTATTCATGTCTGTAAACAAGTCTGTTATTTGCATACACTGTATCTCATACAATGTGGACTATGCAATAGTGGTGTGGTTTGATGCAATCATGATTTTAATCAGAGATTTCATTCGGCAAGAAACTCAGATTATGACTCACTATATTTTTGTTTATGTTTTCTGGATTATATCAGTGTTGTGGCTGGAAAACATAAATATTAGCATGAAACCAGACACCAAACGTAGGAGAACTGTGATAACAGTAAAACAGGAGCATATTTGTTGTGTGGTTTGTGCACATGTGTACATAGACAGTGGCCAGCATAGCTTCTGATTGGACCCATGTAGAACTCTCTTCAGATGACTAGAAGTTCTCAGGGTCCTATATGGATGCAAAATGATAACATTATTATGATAAGTATATAAGAAATTTAATAATTTCTGTAAATGGAGGAGTATATTTGTGGAGTTTCAAAACTTACTCTTTTAAGGGGGATATGAATGTGTAATATGACACCCACAAGTGATATGCATTCATGTATCATATCCAGAGATATGAAGAATATCACCTCCAAGTGTATTATTGTCATGGTAACATCCCTAGCATATCAAGAGTCAAGATTATATTAGGTCAAAATCCAGTACAATTTAGCTCAGTGAAATATTTGCCTGTGCATATCTGTCAATGCTCAACATAACAAGGACCCCATAGATCAATCGGGCTTCACATATGCTAGGTTAGGGTCGACCCAGCATTACTATGTTTACAACCATGGCTGGGGTTAATCTTGTTTTAATGCCTGTGTTATATCATGTGTACCTGATTATGATCATGAGCGGAAGTAGGGACTCCTTGGTCTCTTGCCCAATATCAGTTGAGATTTATTTGTGTCATGTCTCAAACTGCAGTGCTTCACAGGTTTGTGTACGTTCCTTAATCACCCGCTCACACATGACAGATATGTGTCTTAACAGGGTAGCAACTCTATGTATGGTCAGTACTGACATGACATCATCTCACGCCATAACGCGGGTCTTGGGGTCCATGGGTGACACACACACACACACGTTATGAGACACCCTCGTTGTACATAACATGGCATAAAGGGCAAGTACATTCATAACTGCTATTGTGTGTTTTGTGCCCACTCAAAAACTATGTCGTATCGTTCGGGGTGAACAAACTTTGTAATCAAAGAATTTTTATGAGAGCCACAGATTACCCCGTGGTTTAACCGAAACCACAGTATCGCGAAGAGCGTTATTGCGAGGGATGAGTGTATTTGTAAATCACTGGCATCAGATGCAGCTTTTCTGTACACTAACTTCGTGTGAGTTCCACCATTGCCTGACACTGAAACAGTGTCAAGTAGATACCACAAGGCTGTGAAACATGGTGTATGAGAACTGCACTGTATTACCGACGCGGCAATGGTAAACGCTTCGATTTGGCGCTTCTGTTGTGTGTAGCGTACGTCATAATCTCGCGATCTAACGCTCTCGTTGCCTTGCGAGACCGAAACATGGCCGCCTCCATGGAATGACAGAAGAGCATCAGATTGGCGACTCGGTTACTCTCTTCTCTTTAACTAGAAATTATTTTTTTAAATAAATATGAAAAATATGATGTGTTATTACTTTACAATAGATGGTTAAAAGTTAATGTAACCTTCATACTCATTGGTCTGAGCAATGGCTGATTTCCTTCATGCTAGAAGCTGCAGTGGCTTGATTTGTACATTGCAAGATTTCCATTGCTAGTGGTGGAAAAGAGTGCCTGTACAAAGCTTATAGATGTTGGTGATGGAATTCATCCTGCCTCATAGGTAATAAGCAGCTACTGAAGCGATGACAGTTGTAGTTTCAGACAGAGGACAGATAAAGACATTATTAGACTGCTCGCGTGGTCAAACCATTCGCCTTTTCAAAGTCTGGGTGAGTGCAATTTAGACATTTTCCAGTTTGTGTTTATCAAGTTACAATATATGTACAACCATTCTAATACTCAGTCATTCACATGTTATGTATACTTAATTTGTGTTGAGATGAGAGCAAAATGAAAGACTAGTCTGTTATAAAATTCCAGTTACCATGGTTACTAATCAGTTATCTCCCGTCTCAGGACATTGTATAGATACTGTAGCCATTCCTTCAAACAACAACAGACCTGGATAAGTGCAATTGGCTTTCTTAGATTCCTTGTGTTATATTTGTATCATAATGTATATACATGTATTTCATTCTGCTATGTTTACATTGTTATGGAGCACAATCAGTCATCGTTATTGAAATAAATTAGTTAAAAAATGATAAATATTAAGGTAGTGAATGTGTTTCTTGAATGATGAAGTCAGCACCTCATTGGTGTATGAGAATATTCACATAATTTTCTTTTCTTTCTTTTTTTTTTCTTCATAAAAGTTGTTTGTTAAAAGTTAGAATTTAAAGTCATTGCAGTCAAACTATCATATGTTTACTATTTTAGATTTCCAATATTTATTAAATTCAGTAATTGCTTTAAGCGTTATTATCAAGTGCTGTATTCAGTAAACAAATAAGCCTAAAAACAGCGCTTCGGTTATTCAAGCAACTTGTCATTGTATCAGCGTTTTGTCAACAATTCTAATATTCTAAGTTACCGGTAAATATGTTTTGTATTACAAGATAGAGATTGAGATACATAAAACTGGAAGCCTTCTGGCATTGGTTGATGATGACCTTCAGTAAACACTGATACATGATTTAGATTTCAGTTCAATGAAGGTAATAAAAATATAAAGGTACGTTTTTATTTGTCAGTGTCTGAAGTTACTTCTTAGGTTTATGTCACTGAACTTGTGTAAAGTTAAAAGTAAAAAGCATGCACATTTCATGTATTAACATAGCACCTGATTACAATTTGTAGAAATGTCTTTTGTTATATAGACAAGTAGTGGCACCATGGACAAAGCTATCAACTTTTAGGGACCATGAGGATGGATTACCAATGCTATTGTAGTGCTCTAATCCTTCTCTCCATCTTGTACATGTTAACTGTAATGATATTCAGGGACTTAATCCCTTCATATAAATTAATGCCTAGCAAGAACAATTTGAAAAGGTAAAATAAATGTTGTCTATAGTCTGTTTGCGGAGAAAACGTACCGATGAATTTTACTTTAAACAAAAATGTAAATCGAATGAAGTGAAATTAAGATTGCAAATCTTCATGATTTTACATTGCCAACTGAACATTTAAATCTCAGAATTTTATTCAACTTACGATAAAAGTTGTTTAACTAATGATCCTAGTTTCAAATTGCTTTATTTGTTTGTATTACATGGGGGTATGCACATTAAATGAAACACCGATAACAAGTAGGGTTGGTATAAGTTAAAACTCATCACGTACCGCACGTGCATTTGTTTCACTGTTCCAACTACTGTGCTTACCCCCTTGTAATACAAACCAATAATAATGATTTCAATCTATGATCATTTGTTAAACAACTTTTATCCTAAGTTAAATAAAATTCTGAGAATTAAATTTCCAATTGGCAAGGTAAAATTATGAGGACTCGCAATCTTAATTTCACTTTATTTGGTTTAGTTTTTTGTTTAAGTGAAATTCATCGGTGTGTTTTCACTGCAAACAGACTATAATGATGTATAATTGCAGATTTGACAAAGAGTAACCTTTTGAGAAGACGACCCCTTTCTACAGATATCTTTTTTGGTCCTTAAAATTCAGTGTATCTGTGTACTTTAAACATGGTAATTTCTCAAAATCATTTTCTGCCCAAATCATATAATTCTTGTATTTCAATAGATCCTACAAAGACCTATATACTATTTTGTTTGAAAAGTTTCATTAAGCTACAAGACCTTTACAGATATCTCTTTTAGAAAATATTTTCATACAATTGATCCATCCCTGCCTCCATTCATTTTCT